CCAGGAAAATTATATAAAATACTGTTTGTGGATATTTAATTTCAGGTTTATGAAGTTGGAAAAACCCAAATTCAATCACATGCCAAACTACCACAATTGTTCTGTTACTACTGGGATCTGTTCTTTTTTTTTGTTGTTGTTATGTAAACTGCATGACGGCCTGGCTTTCCAACGGTGGGAAAATCTCCTGCAAAGAAACGAGTCCCTAACTTCCTCTGGGAATGCTCAGTACCCTGGTGATTCTTCTTGCTTGACATTTTGCTTCTCAAGTGACTACTGGACCTTTGCTCAGATGAGATAAGTAATTTTTCTTTCCCTGAAGTACATGTAATTATGTAGTTGTAAGGCTTAAGGCTAAACTGGTTTATGACAGTGGACAGGCAGGGGGTGGTCCTCCCAGAGCTTTTCTGAGCCAGACTGAGCTGGGATGTGTTACTTTTGCCATGTTTTGGTGGCAGGTAGCACAGCAAGCTCAGGAAATCCCTGTTCAGTGGTGGGCCATTGCCCACCCCTGCTCTCATACATTTTCCAACAGCAAATTTGGGGACCAACATGCTTGAATGCAAACTAAGGTTTGTTTCTTATGTTTTTGAGCCAGAAACGAACCCTGCTTATAAAATTAAAACAGATATTTGTTCTATCTCCTGGAAATACAGCAGAGTTAGTGTGAATAAAGGTTGTAAAATGTGATGAGGTTGCATCTGGAAAACTTGAAATCCTCCATAAAACACCAGATTCAGATTATGCTCAGATTATGTCAAACAAATTTTAGCTAACCTGAACCTCTTCTTTGCACCTGATAGTGTTTTCAGATAGGAGCTGCTCACATTCACAGCATTTGAAAGGCACTTTGCAGGCTCACAGGAAGGACAAATCTAATAAATGCACACAAGTAATCTAAACAGTCTACTTAAATTTATTTTCACTGTACAGTGTTTGGATCTGGCATTTCAAACAGCACCAGTCTACCCTGCAGTGTCTGGAAGTCTGTCTCCAAAAGGAGACAATTCTCTCAAAACCAATACTGAATAGTGAGATATTATGTTAGGGAACACCAAATCTTGTTTTCTTACTGGATTACTGATGTATCTTTTTTTCATTATTAAGTGAGGTTCCGTTGCTACATAATCTTCTTCTCCTTTTTTTTTTTTTTTTTGCCAGAAAACCTATGGAAGAAAAGTAGCCTGCTGCCATATGGAAAGCATACGAGCTTTAAGGTTCCAAGCTAGAACCTTACTGCTGTTTCCTTTTCCATCAGAGGTTGCACTGAAATGTCTAAACAAAGATATTTGTGTTTGTATGAAAGTTTAGGATTAAAGATCTCCCTGGAAGGCACATACCCACGCTGCCTGGGAAGAGCTGCTTCAGGATTAGGAAAATTCTCCTGCTAGACAGATTTATGCTCTGCAGATCCTTCCACTTTTCCCTTTGAATGCTCTTCCTGCTGGGACTCTTTTAAGCAGATATTTAACTGTAGGATCCTTAAGAATTCTCCTGATTTGGAGGGGGCTTCACACAAGTGTATAGGGATTGCTGAAGTGTTTAGGATTTCAGAGGTGCTCAGGTATTTTACAGAATCACAGAATGGAATGCTTTGGGTTAGAAGAGACTCAAAGCTCATCCAGTTCCATACCCCTTCCACTAGACCAGGTTACTGAGATTCCCATCCAGCCTGGCCTTGAACACTTTTTATCTCAATAAGTAACAGCATCCCCAGTGTTTTAATTTTGTTCTATTTATTCGTATTAGCAGAACTCTGCAATTCACAATTTATTAGGTACCTATGTCTTAGCAACTGATTCCCAAAACAACAGCTGGAATCCAGCACTCAAAGATCTCCCCTTCAGAAGCCTTTGATCTGAAATAAACCAAAACCACATTTACTTCACCAGAAAGAATAGTACATCTACTAAGAAATGTTTTTTAAACTGTGACCAGCTGACATTCACTTCTGCTTTCCTTAAAACTGTCCATCCCTTGACTTCTTCAGAGCATTCCCACATTAGCCTGGTTCCCTAGAGAAGCTGTCTCCTCTTCCCTTGGATGACAAATTTCTTCAAGTCTGCTGTCTCTGATATCCCTGTTTTCTATCTTGCCTGGTCATTGTCTCACTATAATACTCCATGTGTGCTGGAGATGGCTTGTCCTACCATTCCTGGGGTTTATTCTTCCTTTTGCCCAGCAGCCCTTTGTTGAACTGGTTCACTGGAATGGCCCAGCCAAATTGTTTCAGCATTCACACTCCTCTGTTTACCACAGAGAATCCATGTTGTCAGTGCTCAGAGTGTGAGCAAGACCCTCACATGCCATAATCAGTGGCTTAGCAGGAGGAAAAGCAAAAGCCAAGTAATGGAAGCAGGAATCTGGTTTGCCTCTGACAGCCCCTTGAACTGTGCTCTGGCAGCTCCAAGTGAGCCTTCCCTGGGGGCACATCAGGCACATGTGCTTTGCAGAGCAACAGGATCCAGTGCTGATTCTTGCCGCTGCTGCTGGGAGTTCACATGGTCACAGCGTTTTGACCCAGCTGGGAGCGAGTCCCTGCCTGGCTGAAGGGGCTGCACGTAGCTCTGTACTGGCTGCTGATTTCCATGACCAAATTCCATGTCCTGCACGGCATGTGCATCTCCCCTGTGGCATCATCCATGGCGGGGGAGTTCCCCAGGGACACAAATGGGTGCTGAGAATAAATGCTACACTTTTAAAAGCTTGCATCTCTGAGGGAAACCATTTAGCAAGCTCTCTGTGTCATTGCTAATGAACATTTCACCCCTTAAAAGGTATTTTTACCTTCTTCTGTGTGCATGGTGCTGATGGGTCCGTATTTGTGGCAATTTTACCAAGCTGAAATGACTGTTGATGATTTCAGGTACCAAATTATTGTGGGCAATTTTTTCAAAGGGAGGTCTGGAATCTGTTGCTACTAAGGAAACCTCTCCCCTTTTCACAATAGGAACAAAACATAACAAACTTTGGATGTATATTTGCACACAAACATTTGTACATGCACACATTTTTCCTCTGCAGTTTATTTCCCCAGTGTCATATCCCAAATGACATTCCCAAAGTGCCCATATGAAATGCCTGGAAATCCTAATGACGGTAAGAGTTCCCAGCCTTTCTCCACCACTGCATGCAAATGAAAGTCAAGTTGAAAATTGCCGAGAGGAAAGTGACCATGAGAAACTCACTGAGACACTTGACAGAAATCTAAACCAACACATTGGAAAGAGTTACAAACAAAAACCGGTCTCAAAACCAGTGCTCCTCCTGTGACATCACGTCATATTAATCACTGCTAGGTTGACCTAATAAGGATTAAAATTCCCACTTCAGAGCCTGCTCTCCCAAACCAAAAAAAATGCATTTTCTGCTGTGTCGGACCTTCCTTAATATCTTCCAGACGAGACGGAGCTGGAAGTTTTGCTCAGATGTCAGTGTAGTTAGCTGAGGCCCAGGGTGACAGAGAAGTCCATCTTTTCTCTCTAAAGGGTCTTTTCTCTCTAAAGCACAATGGAGTCTCTGAGAATAAGGATTCATTATATATATATATAATGGAATCTTTTGGCTGGAAAACCAAAGTAAAAATAACTTGGAGAATCTCTCTTGTCAAATCTGGCAGTGCTTCTTTAAATATATAAATGCATGTATATATATATATATATATATATATATATGACGTTAAACAAGCTTTTCTCCTATGATTTAATAATGTGCCCAAGGAAAACTTAAGTTGAAGGATTTTACTGATGAATTAATAGTTCTGTGCTTGAAGTGGAATAGGAAAGAATGTGTTGATGTACACAGATGCATAGTTTTGGAAAGACTAAGGAGTTATCACCACTTGCTGGCTGAGTGATCTGCAGTGGATTGCAAACACTGTGCAAGGTGTGACTACATAATTAAAATTATATTTTTGTTTTGTGGACACCACTAAGAGCCTCTCAGTGAGTAAGTGCTCAGATGTTGGCATCTGAAATTACAAAGATATGATTGATTACATATTTCCATGCTAAATTATTGTGCTTGTATGTGTCTTGTGCATAATTTCAGATTGAACATCGTCACCTGTAAAGTCTCTGGCACCTCTGTTTGGAAGACTGTTCTGAAGACTGTTCCACCTACCATTCAGTACATGGTGAAGAAATCTTTATTTCAGTCTCCTGAACTTCTTATTTCTCTGGTTTTATGCCTTTCCTCTAGTAATTGATATGACTGAATTAGGACTCATTGCCTGCTGCTTTTTATCTTTAACCAGAGTATTGAATTGATATTTGAACAGATTATTGTCCCTTAAGGAAAACACTCATGAATGATAACAACATATTTGCTGCTAATATAAACTGAAGGATAGTCACATCTTTAAAATTAGGTTAAATTTAATATTTTATGGAGCACATTCAGTCTTGCATTCCATTTTTCATGTGGATGTTGACAGTATAAAGAAGCTGACTATAAGGAAAGCTTCAGTCCAGAAATTTTATTACTCTCTTAATTTAACACAAAATATTTAAAGAATTGTAAGACTCTGTCTGAAGTTTCTCTCATCTGCCTCACGATCGTTGTGAAAAGGACAGAAACTGGGACCACCGAAAAGTCCCTGGTTGGAATTCGAGCTTTGCTTGAATTGGTTGCCCACCAAGATCCTGAGGCCTGAACAGAGCCTCTGGCTTGCCAAGCTATTGTTTGCAGGTGTGTTTGCTGCCATGGACCACTAAACCTAATGAAAAGGAGAAGGGGCACCGTGTCCTTCTTCGCCTGCACCCATTTTGCAACAACAGCCCTGGAATTTCCCCACCTCTTGGCTTGGCTGGACTTTTCTGGGGTAACTTTTGGTGGTCCCCACAGAAGACCCTTCATCTGTTCTGCCACATCTGTGATGGACAGACTGAGATGGGAGAAGCCTCTCCCTTAAGGACTCAGACATGAAACCCCTATATGGAGGAGCCCCCTCTCCTCCCAAGGACCGTTTTGCCACCACTGTGATGGACAGACTGAGATGGGAGAAGCCTCTCCCTTAAGGACTCAGACATGAAACCCCTATATGGAGGAGCCCCCTCTCCTCCCAAGGACCGAGACTGAAACCCCTGACACAGGGGAGGTGTGTGGGGGACGCAAGCTGACCAAAGCGAGATGTTTGCTTGCAGATGTGACCATTGGACCGAGAAGACAATGGTCCTCACCTACTGCTGAGAATATAGACTATTTTTACCCTTCTTCAATGCCTTCTTTTTTTTTTCCCTTTTCCATCAGCAATTACAATTGACTATTCTTTATTACATTTGATTCCATTTCAAGACTTGTCCCCTTCCCCCACCAAAAAGGACTATAATAGAAGCTTGAGTTGACCAGTATCTCTGACATCTCCCCTGCCATGACCAGGCAAACTCAGTTGACTGAAGACTTTGAAGGACTTCGTCTATCTATGTTTGGTAGCTATCTATATACCTTCCTTTCTCTTCCTCTCTTTTTCCTATTCTTCCCTTTTTCCCCAGTTCCTCCTAATGCATTTTGCTGTGGTCATTCAATAAAGGTGCATTTGGTTTTGATTATTACTGCAAATCCCCTTGCCATGTTGGTTTTTTGCACTCTGAGATCAATTAACGAACCATCATGAAACCCATTTGTAAGGACGGATCGTGACAAGAATGCACTGAGATTTTGTATATGGAAAAAATAGCACATGCCAAACAATTTAATCTGATCAGCCAAGAATAGTATCTGTTTATAATATGATTTAAAACACCAGCTAAGGCTGAGCAGACAACATTTATTAGTACTTGATATATTTTTGAAAAGCTGTGAGATGGAAAGCTGACCACCCAAGGGGAAAACAATTGTCACTTGTTCTCACTCAAACTCAGCAGAGTTTCTTTCAATGTTTGTTGCAACCCTTCAGTTTTGCTTCATGTCCTGCCCTTGACTGAATTTGGAAACCGTGACAGTCAACAGAAGCAGCCCCTTTCTGACAGACCAATCCAGATCACCCAGAATGAAAGACCTAATATACCTAATATAACACCCTGAAGGATAACAAGGCTGGGCCATTGGAGGATGCAATCAATTTTCATGGCTATTGTGATATCAAAAGAAAAAAAGCACTTGAGGAAAGCGATGATGTTCCCTGGATGAGGAAGATGCTGAGCCCCAAACCACAACAGCCTTTTGGAGTCACTCCAGTGCCATTCCTCAGTTTTATGGTCTTTATAATAGACCTCAGACCATAAAATCAAGAAATATAATTTCACTTTGGCCCACACAGAAGCTGGCTTTCTCATCCTTGCTACTAAGCAACAGCAGGAATCCAAGTAAAATCCTGTAACAATGAGATACCCTAATTTTTACAAATTGTCCCTAGGGACATTTGTCAATGCTGTTTGAAGAATCCATAATTAGCACTGAAATGCATTTCTCAAAATAAATCAACCATTTGGGGATGCCTAACTCTGCTGGGGTTTCTGTTCCCCCATGTTTGTTTGTTTTCTCTGTGGGAGATTAATTTAAGACTCAGAGGAAAGCTTTCTCTTCACCAAAATTCATTAAACTCTCCCTATCCATAAATTTGGAGTGCAGCAGGGACCATTAGATCATCACATCTGACATACTGAGCAATACAGGCCATGACATCATGCACAGCTACCCCTGCACTGGGCCCAGAAAAGTGTGTAGAGATTAACAAGTATCCTCCAGAAAATTACAGTATGTTTGTGCTGGGAGTGATGTCTTCAGATAGATCAACCCTTTCTCACGGTACAAAACAAAGGTGCTAAACTTCTGTTAAAGATGAAGAAGGAATCCAACATGGATTTTTTTTTTAGTTTTTAATAAGCTAAAGGTTAAAATAATTGGCAGCAATAACTAAAGTATAGACTACATTTTCCTTGAATGGATGTTTTTTTCTTCCTTGCATTGAAGTGTGTCTTGATGATCCTAGAACACTCCTTTCACTGCTAGCTAATAGCATATCAGTGTTCTGAGAGTTCTCAGCCAGAAACCCCCTGAATACTTTCTATTTTTAAATATTTATTTTAATCCATGCCCTTGGTGATGTGTCCTGACTGTGAGTGCCTCAATCCTAGTGGCTGTTTCTCTTGGACACTGATCTTGTCTCTGCAGGCTAAATTTCTCTTCAGCATCCAATAAGGGAATATGGGAACGTATTTTATCTTTACTGTCCAGTTATCACATGAGAAATCTCTTTCTTTCTTTCTTTTTTTTTTTTTTTTTTTTTTATGTTCAAAGAATCCTTAAGGGAAAATAGAAAACACAATTCGGAGAGATAGGGCGGAGAAGCATTATTAATATGCTAAGGGTATTAGAAAATTCCTGTCTATCATCTTAGATTAGTCTGGATGTCATGTAAACACCAATATAGGGAAAAAAATATTTTAATATAAGCATGTGGGGGAGAAAAAGTTAACTCTCACCTGGCTATTCAAGCAACCCCTACCAGTGTTTTGAAAACAGCAGGCCCAGAGATTATATTTTGTGAAAATAATGAAAGCTTTGTTCCTTTCATCATATAATATCTAATGGTTTTTCTCCTGTCAAAGCTTCTTTCTGGTCTTGGACTAACTACTTTTGCAGCTTGCAACAAAAAACATTTGCTAATAATAACCACTGGAGTGCTTGGAAACTGGTTGCACAAAATGTCCTCAGTCTCTAGTTTGTGAAGAAAAAAAAAGATGTGGATACTCAACCATCTTTTTTGTTTTCAATCAGAAAAAATAGTGTGTCCATTCTGCTATCCAGACTGCAAAGTAAAAGCATGATTCCCAAACTTTTTATAAAGTGTAAATAAAGGCTCAGACTTCTATGAAATTAATTCACAATGCCTGTGAGGCAAAACCTCTGAAATGACCCTTTGGCCTGGAGTGACACATGGCTTTAGGGCAAAGGGCTATGGCACACATGAGGTGTTAAGTAAATCTGAATATTCCTCTGGCTCTCACTTTACAATGTCCTGAGCACCCCAGAAAGCCCAGAAGGAAGTGTAACCCTTCTATGTAAAGAGGCCAGGGCAGATCACTGTGAGACAACGTGCTCATGAAGACATGCTCAAGGGGCAGAACTGTTTTACAAGGCCAGAATTGTTTTACAGGGCCAGAGTAATGCCACGGGTAGCAGAAAGATTCAAAGTGTGGCTTGCAGCGGGGCCTTGCCAGTGCTGAGCTCCAGCTTCTGTCCCTGGCTTGCACCAGATTTTGCAAAAGAGAGCGCAAGAAGTCCTGAGGATGACAGCCATAGAATCAGCTGCCAACAGGGAAAGTTTTCTCCAAATCCTATTACTCACATCTTGGCTTCAACCCTGGAGCATTAATCTTTATATCCCCTGTAAGCACTGTCTGTGTTTGTTTGCTCTGCGTCCCCACCACGGTAACTCTGAACTTTCTGGGTGTCCCAAACAAGGACAAAGGCTCTCAGTGCCATTTTTCTGTTTAAAACAGAGAATCTCCTTAGAAGAAAGCTAGGAAGAAAAAATAAAGTGTAATCCCAGACATCATGCCTGTCCTGGAAGGACTTTATAATTACTTTTCTAAACTTAGAAAACAGTTTTGCTCTTCTGGTAGGATCCACAAAGAGCCAAAGCATATTAATTCCACACAATAAGTGATGCCAAGTAAGTTCTAGTTACACCATGTTGCAGAGGGATGGGAATGGTAGGAACACAAATAAGTGTGAAGGGAGGATGTTGATACCTTATTGAATCTAATTTACTAAATCCTTATCAATGAGATGGACAGTTAACTGCTAACATGAACTGTCAGCACTATTTGGTAGAAATCTCACTGTCATCCTTAATTTGTCAAGCTGTATTATAAACAGAAGGCTTCAAATTTAAAATAAAACCCCTTTCTGATAAAGTTGCCAGGGAGAAAAAATAATTAAATGTATTGAGCTGTGGTGCTGCCAGCTGATCCCCTCCCAGCGGGCATAGCTGGGTCTGAAAGCACATGCAATGATATCGCAAAGCTGGGTCTGAACTCTGTCCTTTCAACCAGGGAAGAAGCTCCTAGGCCAAAGACCTCTCTCCTGCTCTCCACCACTGGCTGCCTCTGTCCCGGACCTCTTCCAGGACTGCAAATCTTGCTCAAAAAAGGGGCTTTGCACAAAAGGATTTACTGCACAGAGCAGGAGCACAGCACATATGAACATGACATTCATGGCACAAAGCTCTGCCTTGTTTTCTGTTCAGCATCTTGGTATATAACTGAGGTGTCTTAGTTGTGGTAGTTTCTGGGATCCCCAGGACAAAGGAGGAATGATTGAATCTGACTGCATTTTCTTAGAAGGCTAATTTATTATATTATGATATTGTATTATATTATATTAAAGAATGTTCTACTAAACTATACTAAAGATAGAGAAAGGATACAGACAGAAGGCTTAACAAGAATGTTAAAGAAAACTCATGACTGACTCCTCAGAGTCTGACACAGCTGGACAGTGATTGGTTATTAAGTAAAAACAATTCACATGAAACTAATCAAACAACCACCTGTTGGACAATTTCCAGACCACATTCTAAAGCCGCAAAACAGAGAGAAGCAACCAGATATTATTTTCATTCCTCTCCAAGGCCTCTCAGCTTCCCAGGAGAAGAAATCCTGGAGAAGAGATTTTTCAGAAAATGTCATGGTGACACTTAGTGTTACCTCAAAATACCAATACCCCTGCAGTAGTGTTCCAAGAAATAGAGTGTATTAGGTGTGAAGCAGAGAGAGCCATGAAGACGAAATAAAATTTGGAAGGAGAAAATGAGAAAATGGTTTGGGGGGAAAAAAAAAAAAAAAAAAGCTCATTTGAAATACTGAGAGAATAATGAGGTAATATAGGTAACATAAAATTATTATTCAAAAGGACCATGGAAAAGGCTGGGATACAGGAAGGACCAAGAGTATACACAAATGAATGAAGAATACAAAAAGACAAGAAGGAAAGGCATAGGGAAAAATCAGAGATGGAAGAAATCATTATTTGTTGGGGGTTAGGATTTTTCCTTTTGTTTCATTCTCTCATGGAATTTGTCCCATCTGTGGCTAAGAGGCAATAACGACCACTACTTAAGAGAGGCAAAAAAGGTAGGGGAAGCATGCAGCTGGCTATTGTCTTACCTCGGAGGTTTTCTCTTTGCAAGGGCAAAGATACCATGAGATTTTGGCTGGGTGGTGAGGGGCTGGGCTGGGTTCCTCTCACTCTTGGTATCGGAGTAGGCACAGCCGGTCTGCAGTCACTGCCCAGAGGATTCGCTGCCATGAAGGAGCTTTTGTCCTTCCATTGCGTCTCCTACTGTGAGTGAGCCTTTGCTCGTAAGAGCAGCTGTTGGACTGGGACATTATTATCACCCAATCTGACTGGAAGGGACCCTTACCATCTATTTGGGTGCTTCAGGGGAGAAACCCAGGACCCCAGCCCTCTTCCCCTTCCCGGCTGTGTGCAGCAGCTGCTACAGGAGGAGCCTGGCTGCCACTGCCCTGTCCCACTGCTTTCTCCACTACACTCTAACCCAGCACCCCCTGCCTGCCATGCATCTGCTACAGCTGTGGAGTTTCTGATACATTTCCTTGGCTACTCTGGTGTCTGCTTATCCCTGCTGTCCCAACCACTGCTCTGCGGTTCCTGCTAATGGGTTCCGGCCCATTTTCACCGCCCAGCCCACCCGCCATTATCATGTGAGGGACATATGGCGGAGCTCGCGTCACAGCGCTCCCTGCAGGAATCATCGCGCCTGCCCTGCCCTGCCCAGCCGGGAGCCAACAGCGCCCCTGCTGGCCGTGACTGGAACTGCATGGAAGGGGAAAGTGCTGCATCCAAGAGCAGGCTGCAGATGGGTTCCTGGTTCTGTTTGTGTTGCTGCTGTTGTTGTTTGTTTGTTTGTTTGCCTTGCCATACAGACTAGTAAAGAACTGTTATTCCTTTTCACATATCTTTGCCTGAAAGCCCCTTAATTTCAGAGTTGTAATAATTCAGAGGGAAGGGAGGTCATATTTTTTTCTATTCCCAGGGAGGTTCTCACCTTCCTTGGCAGACACCTGTATTTCAAACCAAGACATTATTATAACTTCTTTAATTATTCTTTTGTATAAAACCTGCTTTTGCACAGCATCTGACTTAACCATGTATCCAACAGAGAGCCTCAGAGAAGTTCACAGTCCTGGAAATGGAGGACAGAGACAAATTGTATGTGCTTCACTCTGACTCTTCTTGGAAGCTGCAGCTGATTATTGTTTGGACACACAAGGGACAGATTAATTTCTCCAGTTGTTCACCATCCACCCTTCCAGGTCATTAATGGGCAGGTCAGGGAATGAATGCTTTCAGCAGAAACTTAAATTTCCTCTGCTGATTCAGATGAAGTCAGAGTTTTCAGTCTGCAGAGCACCTGTTCCAAATGCAGGGAGTCCACACCTCAGAGCGATGTCCCTCCATGCCACCATCCAACACCTCGTGAAGCCTGAAACCATCCATCCAACAACTGCTCATGAGTTCCTTCAAAGAGAATGAGAATTCAGCTTTGACTTTGGACTGTTTCACCATAGAGAAAAAAGCAAACATTTAAATGTTTGAGTGGCTTGGAGGGTCAGAACAAGGATAGTACTTCTCTTGAGCCACAGACATAAGACAATTTCTGCAAGATATCTGAACAGGAACTTGTCCATAGTTATGCTCACACAGGAAAAAAACATGTATCAATTTAGGCTATCAAATGTGACAGAATTAGTTGTCTTACTTTTACATATTCCTGTAGAAAAACTTGTGATGACGTTTTTGGGAAGGCTCCAGGTAAAAAATGCCCATTTTAATTTGAAGAGGAAAGCTTCTTCCCACCAATTCTCAATGCCAGATTATATAAAAACACAGGTGAGGCACTGCTAAAAACCCAGGAATTCAGCAGTAGCATCCAAGTCCTCCTGAAAAGCATTCCGATAGTTTTGAAAATACTATCTCTAACATTATCAGGCTTCCCTCTCATTCTCATTCCCTCTCATTCTCTTTCATGAGTTCCCACTGGCAAAAAATAACCTTCTTCTGGAGGATTCAGACTTAATCCTATGAAAAGTAAGTGAAAAAAATACACATTTCCTTCCATGTATGAATCTGTCAGAGAGAGCAAAACAGGATTTGGTCTTCCATCATGATGAGAATGTTAAAGAGGCATCTGCTTTTTCCAGCTTGAATAATTTCAGTGAAACAGATGCCCAGGTGGCAGCCAGCAGGACTGGGATTTCTCAGCTTGGTCTACAGCTAATCTGTGTGTTGTCCTGCAGCCAAGTATTTCACCCTGAGAAGAAGAGCAGCACTCCATCATTTTGCCGGTTTTCCTGCTTGGAGTGGTACCAGCTTTCCTGTGGGATGGACACATCACTCCACCTGACCTGAATTTGCTCTCAAAATGCCCTTGCCACAAAGCAACAAAAAAGAAAAAGCCTGGGAAACCAAAGGTGAAATGGTGGCCCTTCTCCAGTGAAATCCTTGAGGAATTTAGTTACTCCCTTTAAGAGAACAAGGAATTCACACAAAAAGATCAATATCCAAATGCCATGCACAAAATCCGTGGGAGCCGTTGAATACAGAACTTTTGTGAAGCACTCACTTGCATAGGAAAGCCCCATATTTTATGCCAGCCAGCAGAAGATGAGAAAGAGACCCTTGATAGGAAAAATATGATTAAAAAAATCAGCATGCCATTAAAACAAGTATAAATACACATTATATTACATGAGTGAAGTGTGTTTTCTTTCGTGTACGTGCCATTTTTTATTAATTCATACACTAAGTGCTAAGGTGTTTTCTAATGCCATTAGGTGGTGCTTTCTGTAAGTAATGGAATAAATAGTTCTTGCATGGTTCTCTTCTGCATTGTGTTCTTGCTTTCTTAAGTAAAAGGAAATTGAAGCAAAACACCACAGGTGCCTCCTTCTGAAGCCCAGTGCCCTAGCACAAAGCAGTGCATCACGTTTCTGAGGCACTCTGGCTCCCCTCAGGTGTGATAAACTGCACTTTGGGCACGATGAGCGAGGAGTTGGTTCTCCGCATGGAGTTGCTCCTCCGAATTGAGTTGTTTCTCCTCATGGAGTTACGCTTCCTCAGGGAGTTTTGGTGGGACAGCTCACTCTTCTGCAGGGTCTGGATGAGAATGGATGGCTTCTCATCGAGCTCTCGGGCACTGCACCGTGGCGCAGCCACTTTGACGGTGTTGCCGAACTTGGAGTAGTCGACAGCGTACACGCCTTCCTCCTCAGTGACAATGGGCACAAAGCGGTGACCCCACAGGATCTCCTCTGCCACGTAGGAGGTTCTCGCCTGTGTCGTGATGCCCGTGGTTTCTACGACCCCCTCCAGTATCACTATGAGCTCCAGGTCCTGGAGCGCCAGGTCAGAAGCAGAGATATCATAAAGAGGACTCCTCTTGTCAATGACATGACAAATGATCAAGGGAGCCACCAGGAAAATATTGTTGCTTTCAATGGGGTTATCCACGGGGATATCCACCTGGTGAATGGGTATGATTTCTCCTTCAGGGGTCATGGTCTTCCTCACGACCTGGATTCTCACTGAGGCACTGATGATCATGCTCTTCCTCAGGTCCCCCACCCGGAACATGAAGCAGAGCTTGCCATTGCGGATGGCGATGACTGCCTGCCGGCTGAAGATCAGTGTCTCAGCCCGCCGGTGAGCCTGTGCCGTCTTCATGAATATGCAGCCCAGCATGACGGCGTTGATGATCAGCCCCACAATGTTCTGCAGGATCAGGACCGTGATGGCCAGGGGGCACTCCTCGGTCATCATCCTGCCCCCAAAGCCAATGGTCACCTGGACTTCGATGGAGAAGAGGAAAGCGGAGGTGAAAGACCTGTAGTGGAAGATTGCACCCAGTTAACTCTCAGGACACAGAGCACAGACTGAGAAGCTGTTAACATGTACTTCCAGAAACAACCTTAAGCACCTGTTTTTATGCTCTAGTACACATAAGCCTTCTGTTAACACCAGACAAAGCACTGCATGCTTGGTGGCTCAGATTTGTGTGGTTGGCGTAGTGTCTAATGGTGGCAGGGAAGACCTCAGAGCCTGAGCTCCTCAAAGACCATCTTGGTGACCCTGAGCAGCTCAGGGAATCTCTGTCCAGGAGCACGGGCTGCCCACTGGCTTAGTGAACAGCTCTGGAACAGCTGGGCTTCCCACCTTCTCCATCCCAATGAAGCCCTTGGTGGAGACAGGTGGTTTTGGCAACCATGGGCAATCAGCTAGAACACTGAGATCCTTCCACCAACCTGAGCAGTGATAGGAAACAGGGAAAACTGCAGCACTTCACTCATGCTACCTGAATTGTGACCCAGAATTTCCTGGTGGGGGAAAAGGGGCTTTCCCAAATTCTTGCTCACCTTGTGAGTGAGCAGGATGAGGCTGCAGAGAGAGGCCAGTGGCCCCCAGGTGCCCCCTGCACACCCTGGCAGCAGGACTGTGTTGTGACCCAGGGCTTGTGTTCACCTCACTGCCAGGGCAAGACCAGCTGGAAAATTTCAACACAGAAGTGGGATGTAGAAGTGTGGGTTAGGTTAAATATCCTAAAATGCTATGGTGCTGGACATCAGCAAATGCTGTCCACAAACTTCCCAAAATACATTATTTATAGTAGCCACAAAGTCATATCCCCTGTATATATCAGGGTCCTTAACTTCCTTTTATATTTATTTATTCCTTTATTCCTTCCAGATACATCCTTCCAGTGCAATCCAATAAATCTGATGCATCCCAATGCTTAACAGGGCTATACCAGTGGAAAATATATCCTGCCCATGAAGATGGATCTAAATAATTAGTTGGCTTTGCTTTGCTTTTCAATTAATCTGCTTTAATTTTTTTTTTCTTTTCTAGCCATATTTTCATTGAGGTATCGAAGACACATTCAAATACCATAGGTAATATCAAGGATAATTTTCTATGCAATGAGAAAGTCCACGAGAAAATAACACAGTCTCTGCACAGGTCTCTTTGAAATAACTTTCTTATTTTGCCTTTTCTATTCTTCTTAATCATTAACATATTCCTTTGTATTGAGGGGGTTTATTTTGTATTTCACTCTGAAGAAATCAGGGACAAAGCAGTTACTTAATAAAACCCATGGAATGATTTCTTATAATCATAAATATTCAGTTATATGCAGAATGAAGTTTCTGGATTCAATTTCAGTCAGCTTAATTCAGCTTAAAAATCTGTCCAGAAGTAGTCTGACTTCCCTTAGCAATACCTTTCTTTAAAAAAAAGAGAAAAAAAATCCACCTTTTAAACAGTGGAAGTAAGTGAAAGAGCCAGTTTGGAAAGCATTTTAACCACGTGAAATGGGAGACAGAAAGTGCAAATCACATCGTTCCCAGGTTCTTCCCCTCAGAGCTGTGTAGCAGCTTTCCTTTTTGGATAATATTTGCTGTCTGTGGCAAAGAGATGTGAGGCTTAGAAATTTCTGCAGTACTTCATAAAATGAAAAGGCTGTGCAAGCTCTAGCCACTGGTTAAAATTTCCAAAGCCAGGTTTTCCTGTAAATCGCACCCACGCAAGAAGCTCTCCTGAAATATCTGTGTGCCTAAACCTCAGGGGAGTAGGCTACAAATTTTTTGTCATGATTTTGGCATTCTAATACTAAAGGTGTTTTACACCCAAAAATTCACCATTCTTAAAGATGTCAACAATCACATCATTACTTCATGACTTTGACCAAAGTGGTAGCCAGATTTCCCTAGGAAAGAAAAAGATTTCTCATGGCTTAGACATGGGCACTGGAGCAGCTGTAGCCTGGACACCCCATTAGGGAGGGGTGTGTGTTCTTTGGCATGGGGTAAACCTGAAATTATATTGATTCATTCATTTTGCTTCCTAGCAGACATCCTGGAAGAGCCACAGGCAGCTATGGAGAAGGAACAGGGGCAGAGTCCTGGTGGTGGATGTTCCCAGTGGCATGAAGCCCTTGGCCCCCAGCTCAGGATCTGCGGTGACACAGCAGCCACGCCAAGGGAGCCACCAGCCATGTCCAGGGATGTTCCCCTCAACTGACCCTGGAGAGCTGCAGAGTTGTAGTTGTTCACTAATTCCGGCTGGACAGATCCCACAAATCCCAGAAATGCCGGGGTTAACGTTCTTGTGGGTGCAAGCTGGGTCATGACATCTCACTTCAGAGGAAATTGCTTGTGGCCAGACATTGGAAAAGAAACAAGACAGCAACCCCTGTTCCAATTCCCCCTAACCTGGTGAAAGGTAGCTTGGGAAAATCCCCTCTTCTTTTACCTTGGGAAATCCCCATTTAGCAAAAAAACCTGTCAAAACAGGGAGAATTAAATCTCTGCTACCTCATGAACCAGATACAAAGGCCCTTCAGACTTGGTGAGGTACCTCAAAACTTTGTGAGAGAAAGGAGAAAAGGGAAGTGGATTCATGGTATCTCAGAGCACCTTGCAGCCCCCAAACTCTCACAGCATTGCAATGTGCAGAGGCAGATGATCTGGGACAGACTGGTGGTACAGAAACAGGATTTTTCTTCCAAAAAACTAGTGCTAAAAAAACAGATTTAATTTATGAGATCCTTAAGTTATCTTATGGCTTACCCCACCTCTAATTCACAGTCTTGTCTTCCATGTATGTTTGTGTCAGCTTATCAGTGCCCTGAAAATTGTCATGGCGTTGGGGACAGAAAGTAAAATACTTCAACAGGTGATATTTAATCCAGTCATCACTTAAGCTTTCACTGTCTGACACAAATGCACGGTGTGTAAAGTGTTCCTCTGTCCAACTGCTGGCCTATGGCTTCACCAAGGTATTTTGAAGCCCCGCGTATTTAACGCTCTCAGGAGAGTCATCTTGAAATACACTTAGTTTTGTTCTAAGTGACACATTTCCTGGCACCTCTGACTGGTGCCCTGCCTGACACCCAGGGCTGGTTCCCTGCCTCTCAGGCGCTGCTCTGGAGGGAGCACCTCTGGCCAACGCGGCGCTGGAGATGCTCCCACTGTCGTAGACAACGTTACAATACATATAACACATACCCACTCTTGCAGCAGGCTCTTATCTCGACAGGCAATCGAGTTACCCACAGAGTGTGGAGACACATGAAAAGCAGCAGGTCTCCCTCTCTTTCAGATCCTGTAAGGAATCAAAGACATCTACAGTACAGTATTTTCCAAGCCCGAGAGGCTTGCTGAATTTACGCAATCTAGAGGAAAACACTGCACTTTTCAACTGTCTCAACCAAACCCAACGGTTCATGTAAACTAAAAGCTGCACTTCAGACAACGCCAGGACAGCTGGCAGCTCTGCCCCCGCCCTTCCTTCATCCCACCAAACTCTACTTTACCTGACACACGTCACACATGGCGTCCACTTTGTGCTGTTTGAAGGGCTTTCTGTGCTCGGGTCCATGTCGCCATGGGCGAAGGCCACCAGCCACCACATCATGGCAAAGAGCAGCCAGCTGCACAGGAAGGACATGGTAAAGATGACCAGTGTGTGACGCCACTTCAGGTCCACCAGGGTGGTGAAGATGTCCTGCAGGAATCGCCCCTGCTCGCGGATGTTCTTGTGGGCCAGGTTGCAGGCGCCATTCTTGGCAATGAAGCGGGCTTTGCGCGGGCGGTCGCGGATGCGCGGCTTGCGCAGGTTCTCGGCAGCAATCCGCGCCAGCACATACTCTTCAGGGATGATACTCTTGCGAGCCAACATCTTCCTGCCACCATAGTCCACTGAGCAAGATGCAAAATGGTGTTGGTCCCTCTAGCAAGTATCTGCAGGGCTTGCTTTACCCTGCAAAAAAGAGTGAACCTGGTTAGAATTGTCACCTGTGCAAGAAACTCCTGCCAAACCCCACTACATTAAATGCTGGTTCTACAGTGCCCTCTCTCTCTCAGACCATCATTTTTACATGAGCAGTCGGCATCAGCTCGTAGCAGATATGAAAGATGCTATTTGGAAATTTCTTGCAGGAAGGGAGGCTGCAGAGCAGTCGGTGTAAAGTACCGTGACAGACACCAGCTCCGCTCCTCAGGCTGTTTCTCCGGGAGACAGCAGTGCTCAGATGGGGACCGGAACACGAAGCACTAAGTTATTCGGCATCCTTCAGGACCTGAAGAATCAGACGTCTGTGGTTAGCGGCGACGCGAGGAGAATCCCTCCTTACGGCTGCAGCCCCTCAGCTCATCCAGCAGCCTGTCGGGAGCCCCTGCCTCGTCCCCCTAGAGCATCACAAGAAGGAGCTGAGCTGGAGGTGCGACAGGCGGGGAACGGGACTCCTCGGAGCAAGCGGTCGCATTTTCCCTCGCAGCTCCCCTTCCCTTCCGGGATCAAGCGAGGATACCCTCCCTTTATTCCCAAACTTTGTCCCCAAACGCGTGACAGAACAAACCCATGGAAAGCCCGGCTCCCCGGCAGCTGGCCCGTCCCACCGGGGGAGGGCAGGGCTGCCTGACCCCCCAGCGCCTCGCAGGGTCCCCCCGCCCCCGCCGCCGCCACTCACCGCCGAACGGGGCGGGACGCAGCCGGGCCGGCCGCAGCGGGGCGGGCGGAGAGGGGCTCGGGCTCTGGGCGTTGCGCGGAGAGGCCGGGGCGGGGCTCGGACTGAGGATGCGGGACTCGGGCTGGGGACGCGGAGCGGGGGCGGAGCTCGGGCTCGGGATGCGGCGCCAGGGCTCAAAGCGGCGGTCGGGATGCAGAGCACGGGGGCGCACGCTCCATGCGCTGTGCGGTGCCTGTGGACGATGTATTGAGGGGGTTTTAGGCAGGCTCCAGCCCATTTAACAGCGGGACTAGGTGCTAACGCTGCTGGTCTGTGCTAGTTACACAAAGCTGCCCGCCTGCCTACTTCCCCTGGCAAGCCAAGAGTTGCGCCTTCCTAACTTTATCATCCTTCGAATCTGGCTGAGACGGAGGAAGCGAGGCTTGTGTGTAAGTGTTTGAGGGACCAAGGCCAGAATCTCATAACCTTTGCAGTTTTGGATAAACTTAATTGTTTGTCTCTGCAAGAAAGGAAGGAAAGACATTTCTTTTCATGGGTCACAGCTCTTGTTGAGCAGGGTCAGGCCCGTTGTAAGGTTCCGCTGGGAAATGGGTACTGGCAGATGAGGATTTGTATTTGAGATGGGTGTAGGAAGAATTATGTACAAGGACAACCTCTCCTCCACCTCCCCGGTGAAATCCCTGAAGTTCTTTCTCTTTCCCACTGGTTGAGGTTAATAATTTTGGCCCTTGTGTTTAATGGAAAATTGCATTCTTGGAAATTGCAGCTTTTTTTTTTTTTTCCTTTTTTTTTTTCCCTTTTTTTTTTTTTTTTCGCTGAAGTCTTAGGGTTTGTAGTGGGGAGAATAAACAGTACATCAACTTTATGAAAATATCTAAATTCAGATTTTAATGAAGGAAAGTGCAGCAATTGTGTCAGATTAATTCCCTTGTATCCAAGGAGTGTGAGGGAGAGAGTGTGTGTGTGCGGTAGGGAGGTTCCAAACTTTTCTGTGTATCACTCAAGTGAATCATCTCTAGGGTATAAAATTTCTACAGAACAAAATGCCTCACTCCTCTCTGTAAGCTAGGGAAAAGCTTGATAGGCCTGATGCAGTCCGGAAGGTTTTAAGCATACTCAGGCTTGGAAAAACTGAGAAGGCACATTTGACAGGCAGTGTAATCCTCAGCTTGAAGATATCCACCCTGCTGAACACATGCACATGCTTAACTTTAAATAGATGAGTGGTTCCTGGAAACTTCTCCAGCACTGGCCTTTGCTAATACCACATACCCAGTAGCCAGAGGAGAGACAGACACAAAGCCCCAGTCATATTAGGCAATTAGCTAAATATTTATGCATGAAATTAACTTTAGGCAGATGGGAAGCTGAAAAATCAGGGTCTAAGCCAAGTGCCTTTAGATTCTAGCCAGCCTCTGAGTACAAACACATAAAATCACTTGGGTGGGTATCTGCAGGGTCAGCATTGTTGGTGTGTGGCACTTCATGGGCCGGGCTTGGAGAACTTGGGAAATTATCCTTCTGCAAATGAGGTGGCAGAGGCAGCTCTAGAGGGGCTGACTCATTTGTTTCATACAGCCCCAAAAGTGCATCTTACTTTGATGTAACTATTGGAAAGAACTGATTTAATATCAGTTCCCTTTACCTTATTCTCTTCCTCTGCCCTTGTCCCATTTCGCTCCATGGTTAGTGAAGTATTTGTTCTGTTCTAGGGCTAGAAACAAGATTGGTGTTCTCCAGTACAGCTGCTAGGTGCAACTCAAAAAATAACTGTCTGGGAACTGCATGGAACACTTCCCACCCCTCACTTCTTCATGAAATCCTTGAATTGTATGACATTGCTTCTGACACAAATTAGCTCATGCCACATGCCCAATTGCACAGTTTCCTCTGAAGTTCTTGAAATCCACATCTTTATAATTGAGGACACAGAAACACCAAGAAATGTTTTATTTACTTGCCACTTCAGGGCATAAACCCACATGTGTTGCTGTTTTCAGCCTCATCCCTTCTCACTCAACCCCTCAAGCTGCTTCTGTGCTCCCCACCCCATCTCTGCTGGTAGTGAGTGCAACTGTGTGACACATAGTTAGTGTGTGGATTAGCAGCTAGTTTGGAAAAATGGATCAAGCCCATATTTAAGGGCGAGTGGGAGCAAGAAGCAACATTCTTTGAGCTACTCAAGTGGAACAGAAACTGCTGCCAGCACTGGCACTGTCAGGAGTTCCCTGTGAGCTCTCAGGCTCACATGTTCCCCACTAACCTGCTTGAGGTTTCCTCCCCCTTAACTGGGCACCATGTAGAGGCTGAAATTCTTGTAGCTGAGATAGGAAAGGATCCATCAAATACACACAAATAGTCCTGGCACAGCCCCAGTGTGGCTGAACAAAAGTTACTGATCCTTTCACCCATCATCACACGTTGCAGGAAAAGTTCTCACAAGATCCCATCTTTTCCTCTCTGCCTGTTTGATACTGAAAGAGATGCCTTCCTCCTCACTTCTACTGGAGATGAGTTTTGAGGAAGCCTGCTGGGCCATGATTACAGGGATGTGAGGGTCAGGAGCTCCAGCCATGATTCTGAGTACAGCATCCATTTCTCCAAGTTCCAGTCTATGAATATGCTCTGGAGAGTGACAGCTACTAAAACCCTTGCCCTCTGACCTTTTAAATTCTCGCTTGGTTGCCACATGCACCCTTGAGTCTGAGATTTAAGTAATAGCTGTGAAAATCTAAAACATCTCCTAACCCATTTGGTAAGGAACAGAGTGTCTGAGTGTTGTGAACACAGCCTTTTCAGGAAAAAAAATTATCAGAATTGATGGCAGTTTTAGGTCCAGTTTTCTTACGGCCCTTCATGTGTCTCCTTCTTGCTGTTTCGTTCCCCTCCACCCACAAGCATTACTGATATTATGGTAAGTATCACTTTACAATTATGCCTGTCTAAAAATCGGGATTAAATAACGTGCTTAGACATGAATCTGAAATTTCCATATTATAGCCCTGTCCAGCCCTTTCAGAAAATCCTGCTTTGTAATAAGTTTTGTTTGAAATTCTAATCTTAGCTTAGAGATAGGATGACTTTACAGGCGTCCAGAGATGTCATGCACTTAGAGCAAGGCTTCCACAGAGACACAAAGCTGATAAGCCATATTCAGATAGCGTGGGTGAACTCTTCCCTACATGAGCTGGCAGGACATCTATCAAACATGAAAGAGCAGAAACTGCAAACTAAGGGCATCTGTTACCCTGAACCAGCTCTTTCCCCACCCTGCTTCCCCCCCCCAGTTTTATGCAAGAGCAGTAGGACAAAAATTGTTTTTATCATCCAAATTCATGTAACTAGTGCCCCTTGTCCAGTGTAAGTTGCATAGTGAAGCTTGTTGTTCATTACATGCCTTCTCCTGGAGTTTATCCTAGGGCTCTGGGAAGAGCAACCGCAGTTTGGGACTGTTTCCTTGCCTCCCCATGCCATAATTTAAGGGAAGACTGTAAATCAGTTTCCAAGTGGGTTGAACATGGTTCCAGTGAGTCTCTAGCTGTGTTCCTAGACTGTGGTGTCCCTTAGGTGCTTCCCCTCCCTGGCTCACTGGCTGTTCCAGGGTTAAATTAAGATTATGCCAGTGACAGAAGAGAGATGCCATATCTCACGTTCATATCTTATCACACAATATCTGACAACTCCAAGCCCTCAAATCTCAGATGCTGTGGTGGGACCTGAAGAAATAGATGGCCCCAAATCTGAATGATTCAGCCATGAAAATCTGCAGTACTCAGAGATTCTTAGGCTCCAACCTTCATGCCTCTGATGGAGAAGTCATATTGCTGAAAGAGTAAGGGCCTAATGTGGCTGGTAGAATAAAACCACATATAACCATTAAATATGGAAGAATATGCTGCCTTGGGGCGTCTGTAGCTGTGCTCTTGAAGGGTGGAGGTTCTGGACCATGTCATTTACAGGAAGCTGCATTAGTTCCTTAGTTAACATGGTTAAATATTTTACTGCACATTGAAGTGATATTTATGGATATAGCCTGAAAATCCTGAAATAAATTAAAGGGAGAGTTAAGAAATGTCCTGGTAACAGGTATGAGGAACTCTTCTGGGCAGTCCTAGCTGGGAATATTCATTATTTACTTATACCTTTAATCCAAAGGTTGTATAACCATGTAATGTATTTATGTATAAAGCAGACTAATATACATACATGGGAATGAATTGCAGTGGCCACTGAAATGTGCAGTGTGCTGGATGATGTTTTGTTATATGGGATGAAAATCCCTGTGTTCCATGGAAGTGAAAGGAGGCATCTTGCACGTGATGAATGACAATTACACCTAATAGAAACCAATTAAAAATTATATTTTAAATAACTGCTTGTTTATAGTGTTCAGAATGTGGTATATTATATTAGAGAAATGGGTAGCGCCTGCCAGGAGTGTCTATTCTGTTTCCATGGGTAGTATCTAGCAGTAGACAAATGCTATCAATAGTGAATAATTAATAGTAACTGTAGTAAAAAGATTTTCTAAAAGTCTCTCTTCTCTTGACAGACTACACTTGGATTTTCTTGGCTTCATTCAAGCCAATACTTTAATACTGTGCTGCCAAAGCAAAACAGCAACAAGTTGCTAATTTGTACGAGTCAGCGAACTTCTGCCTCACAACAATTTTTTTCATCATTTGAATGCCTGATAGTCTTTCCCCACAGTTTTGCAGAGAGATCAATTCTAGTGGAATAAAAACAGAGCAGTAAAAAACCAGCGTGGAAATGATTGGGATGTTTGCATGGCAACAAATAATTTGATTTACAGTTTTGTTTTCAGACTTTTCTTAGTAGTCTCTTAGTTTTGCCTCTGAAAGGATTTAGTTTCCAAAGAAACT